TTTATTTTTTTCTGATTTCTTTTTTAGCTCTTCTTTTTCCAATCTTTTATTTAGCTCATTTTCTTCCAATCTTTTATTCAGCTCATTTTCTTCCAATCTTTTATTCAGCTCTTCTTCTTGCAATCTTTTACTTAGCTTCTCTTCTTCTATTTTCTTGTCCAATTTCTGAACTGCAAAACTATTGGATAGATTTCTGTCCTCAAAGTTTGAGTCATTCATATTGTCGTCCAGAGGTGTTTTATTTGGCAGTCTGTGCCCAGTTCCAAAGGTTTCTCCAAAGTGCACTGTAGTTGCATGTGTAGACACGCTCTCTTCCTCTTTATGGGTGCTCTGCGCACCGTTTCCACTGTCCATTTCCTCGTGTATAGAGTCGTAAAACCCAGGATCAGTTTCATAATTATCCAGAGAGTCTGATCTGTGATTGAAATACTCAGTGGTGTCAGTTTTAGTAGTGCGCACGCTGTCAGCACTGTCTTTCTCCTCTGCGCTCCCAGCACTGTCATCGCTCTTCTGAGCTGTGCTGTGTTTTTCGCCGTCTTTCTCTTCCGCTGATTCTTTTTTTCCGTCTTTTTTGTACCCTTTTTTTATCCACATTCCCGCACATGCTGCTGCAGCTATAACTACAACAAGGATTATAAACTTGTACACTCTACTACTCCCGTAGCGCATTCTCCGGTAATGACATATTCTATTTATATGCCAGCAAAGCATCATATCATGCACCAATCACAGAACAACAATAAACTATCCTATTATAATCAGCAAAGCATCCAGTAGAAATACAGCCCATTACATCAATAAACAGAAAAAAAGCCCGCATTAGTACACTTACTGCCTTCATTCATTGACAAACTCTATTCATTCATTAACAAATGCTTTAAATCAAATCCTGCCTATCCAAACATAAAAACTGACTAACTTTCATTCTTCTCCACTTTTCTCATCTACAGTATATTCTCTGCATAAAATACTTAAATATTATTTCTTCCTCAAAACACCACAAGAACTCTCTTCTTTTCATAGCATATCTCAATGAATAAAGCAATGAAATATCTACCAAATAGCTCATCTAGATAGATACCTTAAAAATATCACTAATTAGCCCACAATCAGAGCAGTCCCTCCTCTGATCCACCATCTCTCCTCACACTCTGCAAACTATGCAAAACTATCTCTATTTAAAATATTTATCCCAATACATTTCACTAATCCACACTATGACTGAAAAATAAATTTGTATTTGCTCACTTGGAGCCATTATTTATTCACTAACACTACACCCATACACCTATCCTATTAAGTTGGAAGGCTTTGATATGATCGATTGCTGCTGCTCTGTTCTCTGGTGCTCTGGGTTTGGTGTTTCAAACTTGGGATGCCCGTACGGACAGCTCCTCCCCAGGGGGCAGAACCCAGCTTCATAGTTAAAGCACATTCTCTTTTTGTAGTGCTTATTGCGGCAGCTATTCCCGTGTCTGCAGAACCCTCTGTTGTACCACACACACTCTTTGCTCTTACTATTTGGGTCTATGTGCAGAAATAAACAGTCCTGGTTGCTGCACTCCCCGTACTTCGAGAAAAACCAGCACTCCGGCATCTTGTCCAGAGCAAAGACGTGCAGGAACTCGCACACCTCCCCTTTTTTGCAGAGGCCTCGGAGCCAGTGCTTGCAGACTATCGCATTGTCTGGCCTTTTCGTGCGGTCCACCTCCACAAGCCCGAGCGTATTCCTCACCCATCCGTCGAAGTCGAACTTAATCTCCATCTTATTTATTTTTGCTAATTTTCTTTTTTATGCATAAAGAAGTAGACTCCGGGAGCGATAACTCCACGGACTTTTTAGACACTTCGGACAGCTCGGTATTTGATAGCGATACGCTGGAAGAAAGCGAAGATCTTGCAAGAACAAGAAAATCATCTCGAGGGCGACCAAGAAAATCCCCTGCAGACTCGGCAGAGCACAAAAGGCCCCACTGCAGCGCGTCTGCGCGCATGGAGAGCGTGCAAGACCTTCTCAAGGGCCTGGAGCAGGAGGTGGACATAAATCTAGTCACTCCCCTGACAAAGTCAGACACGCATCCGCACGACGCACAGGTGGAGATGCAGGAGCCTGTCCTTGGGGGAAGAATAATGCTCCCTCTGAGCCCCTTCCTGAACCCAAAGATACACGTCCCCATATCCCCGAGCAGCGGCGATGGGAGCAGCAACACAGCAGATCTGCAGGAGAGAATATACAACTACCAGTACATAAATAAAGGCCTAGCGAGCACGATACAGTACCAGATGTACCTGAACAACCTTGTGCTGATGAACAAAATAAGCACAAAGCCAAAAACAGAAGCACATCAGACACACGCCAGAGAGACCTCAGAGAGACACAGGGCACAGCAGGCAAAAAGATCAGCTGAAGTGCACAGCCCAACTCTAACAACAGAAATAGACGATGAAGACGATGACTACTCAGAGGCACCAACATTCACCAGCAGCAGGCCAAGGCGCAAGTCAGCTGTGCACAAGAGCAGCATAGAGGATCCCTCAGAGGATGAAATAGACGAGCCAACAGAAGAGGAGGACAACGTAGAGAAAATACTGTCGTACAACCCCGCAGAGAATACTTACTACGTGAAGTTCAGAGGGAAGTCGTATCTGCACTGCGACTGGGTCCCCACTGAGGCCCTCACAGAAACAAAGACAGGAGAAATGCGGCTGCGCAGATTCATGAAGAGCCCTCTTACGCACACAGAGGACACAGAGATATTCCACCCAGACCTAGTGGCAGTGGAGAGAATAATAGCAGAGGAGGACGAGGTGATCGAAGGGACGCACAGAAAGATATACCTCACAAAGTGGAAAAAGTTCCCGTACGAGTCATCAACCTTCGAGTACGCTGACCACCTCTCAGACTGCGAGGGATTCTCCGAGGCCATGGCAGCATTCACCAGAAGAAGAGAAAGAGCGTACTTCCCCTCCACCCCCGCAGGATGGAGACCCTCGCGGGACAGAGTCCCAGAGTCTCTTTCTTTCTTCAAGGGCGGGCGAGAGCTCAGGCCGTACCAGAAGGAGGGCGTCTCCTGGCTCGTTAACAAGTGGCTCTTTAGGCAGTCGTGCATACTCGCTGATGAAATGGGGCTCGGAAAAACTGTACAGAGTGTAGCATTTGTGGACACGGTTATCTCGAAGTGCGGGCTGAAGAGGCCTGCCCTTGTGGTTGCGCCCCTCTCCACGATCCCGCACTGGGAGAGAGAGTTTGCCGCGTGGACAGACCTTCGCGTGCTCGTGTACCACGGCTCGCAGGCTGCGCGGGAGATAATGCAGGACTTTGAGTTCAGGAGCACAAACGGGCTTCTCTTTGACGTCATACTGACAACGTACGAGATGGCTATCGCAGGGGTGGAGCACATCTCTGCTGTTTCATTCGGAGTTTGCGTGCTCGATGAAGCGCACAGGCTGAAGAACAGCAGAAGCAAAGCCGCACAGACTCTGCGCGCCATTGAGGTAGACCACAAAGTGCTCCTCTCAGGGACGCCCCTGCAGAACAACTTGGCCGAGCTGTGGTCTCTCCTCAACTTCATAGACGAAGACAAGTTCCCATCGCTGAAGTACTTCCTCGGGGCGTACAAGATGGAAGAGGCTGAAGACGTGGAGAGAATACAGCTGCTGCTGAGGCCCCTGATGCTACGGCGCATGAAAGATGACGTGGAGAGCATCCCCGTGAAGGAAGAGACAATCGTGGAGGTGGAGCTCACGATGATCCAGAAGAGATTCTACAGGGCAATCCTTGAGAAGAACATGGAGTTCCTCGGGGCAGCAGGGTCATCTACGCCCAATCTCCTGAATATTATGATGGAGCTCAGGAAGTGCTGTATACACCCGTATCTCATCGCAGGAGCAGAGGAGCAGATTCTGATGGAGAACGGGCAGGACATGGTGCAGGACGTGGATCGGTCAGAGTACTACAGGATACTCATACAGAGCAGCGGGAAGCTCGTGTTCCTGGACAAGCTGCTCGCTAAGCTCTACAAGAGCCACAAAGTCCTTGTGTTCTCGCAGATGACAAAGTGTCTCGACCTGATAGCAGAGTATCTGCAGTACAAAGGGTACCTGTACGAGAGAATTGATGGAACAGTGAGAGGAGACGTACGGCAGGCTTCCATCGACAGATTTAGCACGGATGCGGATTCTTTCGTCTTTTTGCTGTGCACCAGGGCAGGAGGCGTGGGAATTAACCTCACAGCAGCAGATACGGTGATTATATTCGACAGCGACTGGAACCCTCAGAATGACCTGCAGGCACAGGCTCGGTGCCACAGGATAGGACAGACAGCAGAGGTGAAGATATACAGGCTTGTCACGAGGAATACGTACGAGAGAGAGATGTTTGATAGAGCCAGCCTGAAACTGGGCCTAGACAGGGCTATACTGCACAGGGACAAGGAAAGAGAGTCTGCACACAACAGGAAAGGAAGAGTGGAGTCCCTGCTGAAGAAAGGAGCATACGGCGTGCTCATGGAGGCGGATGACGTGAACCAGAGGTTCTGCGAGGAGGACATTGATAAAATCCTGGAGGGAAGAACGAGTGTTGTAAGACACGAAGACCAGAGCGGGAATGTGTTCAGCAAAGCATCTTTCCAGGTGGCAGAGGAGATCGATGATCCGGACTTCTGGGAGAACCTTCTGATCAAGAGAAGAGCTGCAGACGCAGAGAGCAGACTCAGAAGAGTGCTCAGGAAGATGGCGCGCGCAGGGCTTATCTCCCCAGAAGAGGAGAAAGAAAGAGTGCAGAGAATAGAAGAACTGAAGAGCGAAATAAAGAGGGAAAGTGCAGCAGTTAATAACTCGTCTAAGAGTACTAATGGTGTAAATAGCACAGGAGAGACAGAAGGAGAGAGGAAGCGCGGGGAAGTGCTGGAGCAAAATCTCTCTGATCTCCTGGTTGAGCTGAGGGGAACAAAGGCACCGGGGCTCAGCAAGGCACAGGTGGCAAGGAGCATTAGAAGAGCACTCAGAGCTATTCCTGAACAGAGCATAAGAGAAGACATGAGCATGGCGCTAGAGTGGGCTACCCAGGGAGATGATGAAGCAGATGACGATAAGAGCATTGCTCTCCCTGCAGGAGTAGACCCTCTGAGGCTCCTTTTCAGGTGCCAGGTGGTTGAGCTGCTGGAGACGTACGAGGACTCCAAGGGAGCAGCAGAGATAGAGTGGAAGAACTGGGCAGCAGATGACGATGCGCTGATTGTGCAGCAGGTAAGAGAGAACGGATACGGGCTGTACAGCATCAACGTAGACGAGAAAGTGCGCGTGGGCCTGCTGAAGAGCGAAAAAGGGAAGGAAACAGCAGTGTACAAAGGGCGCACAAGGGAAGAGCTCAACTCCAGGCTCAGGAAGATGCTCCTTGTGATCAATAAGAAAGACGACACAGACGAAGAGAGGGAAAGCGTGTCTGCAGCAATTGAGCTATTCGGAAGACCAACACAGAAAAACAGGGAAAGTATTGTGAAGATGTACAGAGGCCGTAATATTATCACTGAAATGACGAACATGATAGGAATGATCGAAGAGAACATGAAGAAAAGACAAAGCAGGCGCAGCGGATTTGATGCTGAGCTCGCTAAAGTGCTCACAAACAAGATCAATCTCTTTGACCGCCTGGAAGCACTCAGCGCGGGGGCCGTTCCTGTGCTAAGAAAGACAACGGGACTGCCTCGGGGCTGGGGCAAAGAGAAGGACATGCTGATGATACAGTCTCTGCTGGCAGAGGGCCTTACGAAGGAAGTGTGCGACACGCTGGGAGTAACAGAGGAGGTGATACTCAGAAGAGCTGAGGCCCTGGTGAGACACAACCAAGCGAAGAACGAACAGGAGGAGGCACCAGAGGAGAGTAAAACACCAACAGAATAATAAATATTGATATTAAAAAGAGAAACATTCTCGGGTATTCCATCTTCACACAGTAGAGTAAAAATAGCACTGCAATTGTGTGCATTCTGCGCATAAAGATGCTTGTTAAAATTGGAGTGATTTACTTGCTTGATTTGGACAATGAGAGGTCTTTTGTGCATAGATCTGTTTGTATTTTAATTTTTCCTTATTTAGATTACTATAGTAGCAGAACTGCAACAGAGCGAGATAACTGCTGAGATTGAGGATAAGAGAAGTAGATCTATCTGTGCAAGTATGCTGAAAATAGAAGTGGTTTAGTACCTGCTGCCGTATAAGTGTCTAAGTTTTAATGCTCTTGTGTTCTCTTTCTCTTCTTCTTTTCTTCGTACATCGTTCTCGAGTCTTTCTGTTACTCTTTCTGCTATCTCTTCACTGCTCTGTGATGAGTGCGTGTGAAAGACGCTGAACCATATGGCATCTATGCACAGCTCTTTTGCTATGCACTTTATCTTTGCTCTCCATTGCTTCTCATCTTCGTAGTAGCACTCTATCGTTACAAGGCCTTTCTTTACTTTCTCTCTGTGCTCTTTTATGTCTTTCTTCCACTTCTTTATTTTTATTTTCCACTCTCTCAAGAGGTCTTTCAGGCTGTTTAAACACAGTCTTCTGTAGTGCATAGGGTTTATTCAGAGATGAGAGTGTTTATAACCAAGAATATTTAAGACGAGATCTCTTTGATACAGAAGAATTGAACGGAAGAATAAAAAGTTTATTTAAAGGAGCACAGTAAACTAGTACTGCAATGGAAAATAAAAGAAAAACAGAGCAAATGGGCAGTAATTGGGTATCTTTTGTTTATGTTCTATTTCTAGACATCTTCTACCTGCTCTGCCATTTTTCTCTTCTCTTCTTCTCTACTTTTATTTTCTTCTGTCGCTGTGGGAAGTAGGAGATATAATAAATTACTATTTTTATTTATAATTTACTATGAGACTTGAAGGACGAAGTAAAGACAAGGCAATTTCTGAAATGAGCGCATTCACAGAGAGAAATATCCTAGCCAGGAAATGCACCAATGCGCTTGTGGGCGTGCTGAAGGAGATTACCTCCGCTCATTTCACAGAATTGGAGATAGACACCGTCATATCCAGGCTGCTGCACAGCTTCCAGACAAGAGACTCCTATCTGAAGATACTTTCGTACTCTTTCATTAGAAACATTGCCGATCTGTCATCTGGCTCCTTTGTAGCCATAAATGCCCTGATAAACAACATCACAGCAAGAAAAGACGGGCTCAGGGCTGAAGCCTTGAAGCTTCTTCTCCAAATCACGCCAGAACAGATGCTTGAAGACTGCTCGAAGTATGTGCACCAGTCTTTGATAGAAACAGAATACCACACACTAAACACCATCGTTCCTGTGCTGATATTCCTCTCCAATCCATCACTGAGCGAATGGTTCAGCAGCTACGGATGGATGCAGGGGCTTAAATCGTCAGGAGCATTCGGGAATGCCATTATTCTCATGAGCCAGATACGCCCCCAGGACGAAAGAGAGATAGTGAATGTCATTGGCAAGTCCCCGCATCTGTACAGCAGAGGAATAAGCGCAGTGCACGTCGTAAGATATCTGTCTGCACACTTGTCAAATCCAACAGCACTGAAAATCTTTTCGCAGTTCCTGGCGCTCGATGAGTCAGATCCCGCGCCTTTTATTGAAGCCCTGCGGCATGTCCACCTGATGAACAATGCAGTGGGAGCGCTTGATGCACAGGTCATTGGAGGAATAAAAAAACTGCTAAAATCAAACAATTCGGTTGTAAAAATAGCAACACTTCGGACAATAGACACCCTCTCGGTGCACTACAAACAGAAACTATCTGCACTTCGGGGAATGATTGAAGAGATGCTGGCAGATAGCAGCACAGTTGCGCTGCTCGCTATGTCCATCCTCCTGAAAGTGGGCAGCGATAAAACAGCTGGAAAAATAGCTGAAACCCTTCCAAAGCTGCTTAACGAGCTCGGAGAAACGCAGAAAGTGTCCATCATTGAGTCAGTTACGGGAATGTGCGACAGATTCAAAGGGACCTCGTGGGACGAACTCCTGAAGAAGGCCCTCACAGCCCAGGGATCATGCAGCTACAAAGTGAAAATAGTGCAGAACATCGCAAAAATAAGGAATGTCACGGAAGACGAAGAGCTGAAAAGGTCTTTGGAAGGAATGCTGTGCAACTACATTGAAGACTCGTCGTACCCAAGGGTTACTGTAGAAATACTGGGAAATTTAATAGACAAGAAGTCGTCAGAGCACACTGGCTCTCTTCTGAACAGAATCATCCTCGACAATGAAAACGTGCAGCCAGCAGTAAATCTATCGCTCGCAGTTGATGACTGCACGCATCCGCTGCATGTATTGTTCAGTGCAGGAGCAAGCACAGCTGTGCTGAAAGACAATACAGAGATAGATCGAATGGTGATTGAGAAGCTGCAGGAAGATGCAGATATATTCATTGAAAAAAGAGAGGAGAATGCACTGGAGTCGAAGTTCAACTCTGTGCAGCTGCATGCATCAAACAGAATAGTTTTGAACAGAAAAGAAAGCGAGTTTGAAATATCGGTTGTGAAGAACATGTTCAATGAATTTATTGTCCTGCAGTACAAGATAACGAGTAAAATTGATCTGGTTCTGGAAGAGGGAAGGCTCCGGGTGTTCATGAATGAGAACTGCATAGGAGATGAAGTGATATACCTCCGAGGAAGAGATACAACAGAGATAAGCATAAAAGTGCCTGCTTCTGATTACATGGAAGTGTGCGGGGCAGAGGTATCCAGCACATTCGGATACTCGGTGTACGATGACAGAGACTACGAAGTGGGAGAAGTGCGGCTGAACGACTTTGAGATAGAAATAAGCGATTTTATTGCACCAGGCGGCGATGCAGCAGAAATAAGAGAAGAAGACCCTCTGGTAAAAGAGTTTAAGTTCAGCATGCCTGTGGATGAGGTGATTAAAGAGCTGAAGAACCTGTTCAGAATGGAAGTGCAGGAGGAAGAAGATGGAAACCTGCAATGGACAGGCGTGTTTATGCACACAGGCGAGAGCGTGCTAATTAAGGCAACGGTAAAAAAAGACAAATCAACGTCCACTAAAGCCAAGATAAGAATATTCTGCAAGTCAGAAGAGATAAAACAGCTGCTAATCGATCTGATCAACTAGCATGCTACCTCATATGAGTGAATGAACAATAAAATTGCGAATACGAAAAAGTAAAAGTAAAAGACAGAAATACACTGGGAACATAAACAAAAATAAAGCACAAGATACAACTTAATACAGCCCAAGAATTAAAAGTGATTGAGTCCATCCAGTATACAGCTAAAATAACTGCCAGCAGCAGTCAGTGTACACTCAGTACGTAGCTATTCGTTTTATTGTAATAGCTGAGAATGCTGGCTAGTAGTTGGCTCATTGTTCCAAAGATAAGTGCAGTTAAGAGTGCTTAATTAGCTCGTGTATCAGAGTGATTTGTTCAGTCTCATTAAACAATACGCAAATAAAATGCTAGTGCAAATAAAAAGTAAAACCGTATGTGTTTTGAATTTGTAACAATTTTAATAAAACATCTTTCTATTTGTCAAAATAGAAACAGAGTGTGTGTTCATCATTATTTAGGCGCAGGGCATGATTTTATCATGATCAAAGGAAAAATAATCAGACACACAGCGGTGTTCCTTACATTTTTATACTGCTCCATGGTCTCTGCAGAGATGACAGCTGATCTGATGGCTGAGGTAATAGGAGGCGTCTCTCCCTCGAACATGATGGGGCTGTGCAGCTGTCTCCCCAAGGCAACATGCAAGAACAAGAACCTGGACAAGCTAGCTGCTGTTATCCTCTCCCTAAAGGAGGCAATAACAAAGTACGGCGCAAAGGCAAACATGTCGCAGTGCTACGATGCTAACACTCTGATGCAAATGGGGCTCATCCCACAGAATACAGGAACAGAGTGTCTTGACATCTGGCTGAATGCCATCAACCCCTTCAAGATCCTCACAACTCCCAACTCACAGATCACAGGATCATTCAACACGTGCGAAGAGTTCCACAAGATTTTAGTGGGCATTCTTAACCTCCGATTACCTGAAGGATACGCTGCAATAGAGGGCTACCTGGCAAACAAAGCACAGAATCAGCCCATGCCAATGCAGCCCCTTCCTGCACAGCCCTTCCCCTTCCCTCCTTTCCCAGGGCAGACAGGCGCATGCAGCAACAACGGGCCATGGGGTGGTGCTCCCGGGATGTTCAGTCCTCCAATGTTCGGAGGCATGGGGGGACAGTCCTCCTGTGGATCAGGTGCTGCCTTTGGAGAGTTCGAGGGTTTTTCCCCGTCAAATCTCATAGATATTCTGTCGTTCCACAAGGCCAATACTAGCTGCCCTGTTAACGGAGAACTGGGGCCTATGCAGTGCAAGCCATCGAATAACGATATGAATCCAGGGCCCATGCGCGTATCTCTTAACAGCTGCTGCAGCGAAGGCCCTGACATAAATGCTATCATGATGAACGCGCTGAGAGAGCAGCAGCAGATAAAGCAGATGAGACAGCCTGGTGCATGTCCAATAAATCCTGCCGTGCTGATGGGAGTAGCTGAAGCTGTCCACATGAATGCGCTAACACAGCAGCCATGCAAGAATAAACCTAATGATATCTATGGAGACGGTTCGCTGCCTCCTATGAAGGTTACAATGGGTGGATGCTGTAGAAACGAAGGAATGCTGGGAGGGTCTTTGTTTGGAGGCGGCATGAACGGATGGAACAGCAATCTCGGCCTGCCCAGCGGCCTGGGGATGGGAATGGGAAGTGGCGGCAGCGGAAACATCTGCGCAATGGAAGAGCTCATGAAGGGCTATGGTAACGCTGGAAGAACTAGTGCAGGATACACAGCATTCTAACAATAAATTTGCAATCGTATAATTAAAAAGCCAGCTGAACATTCTTATCTCTGCTTAGTTTGTGTTTGTTTTTGCGTTTGTGCAGGCTCTCTGTAAATATTAATCCGGGAGTATTGAGTGAAATGTGTAGTTTTTTTGAAGAATAAAATACTGTTTAATTTTCTGCGAGTTATGCTGAATATTTTTGCAATGGAGTGTGTGCGAATCAGAAGACCAAGTGCGATAGAGGGAGAGAAGTGGGTAGGCGTGTCTATTGGCAAGAAAGACTCCAGCGAGATAATTAGATCCATCTCTTTCTATTTTAAAAATAAGCCAAAGTTCATTAAAAGAATAAAGCCAGGGGATGATGTTCTAGAAATACTCCTCTGCAGAGAGCGCGAATACTCGCAAGAAAAAGACTTCGAATTTTTGTCATCTCTGGGCATAGAAAATCAGAGAATGTTCACGGTAGAAGTGCCTAAGATAGAGCCCAAAACAGCTAGAGAAATAGAAATAGCACAGGCCATGTGGCCCTGCACGATAGTAAAGCCGCAGATAGAAGAGTGCAGCACAGTTCCTGCAGAAGTTGAAAGAATAATAAAAAAAGAAAAAAGGTGCAGTAGTGTGGATGAAGGCTGTGCAGAATCTTCGATTATTCTGGAGGACAAGAAAGTGTACACTGTTTTTTCAGGGATAAAAGAAGGAGAAGATAGCGTATTTGAGCACTCGGTGATAAGAATGGTGCAGAACATCTCAAGGAGCACAAAAGACTACTTGTGCACGGGAAAGACCGTTATTCTCTCGGGGGAGCCGTGTTTAGTGTGTGGCATGGCTTTGGTCCATGGCCGAGTCAGAGCAATATACATAGCAGGAAAGAAATCAGAAGATGGACCGTATACAAAGTACAGCATACACGAGAACAAGTCGCTGAATCACAGGATAGAGGTGTATATGGTAAGCTAGAGAATGCAGTAGAGTTTTAGAGAATAAATATTTTAGTTACTGTGAATATAAATGGTTTTAAAAATTTTATAAACGGTTTTCTATCGATATCACTGATTTTAGCAATATCACAGCGTGCTAATAGCGCTGTGTCCTTTGTCACTGATGCGCAGGCGATCGAGACACTGCATAGAGTATCGAGGATGCTACACCCATCAGCACCGCAACCCATTTGGAGGCTCGCCCCGTGGACTCAAAGCCAAAAATAACTCCGCTCGCTGCAATGGGAAGTTTGTTCAGCGCGTTAATAACAGCCACTGTTGTGGTGGTGAAGGTGTGCGCAGCCTGTGCATTGGCCACGGCTATGGAGCATGCTGCTCCGCCTGAGAGCGCAATGATTCCTATCTCTTTCATTCTGGCGCCTTTAGCATCTCCCACGCCCTCTACCAAAAAACAGAGAAATATCATGGGGAATGCCAGCGCGTTCACAATCCATGCAGCTGCTGCGCTGTTTACATCTGTTTTTCGTACTATGCTGTTGAATCGGATGATGTACGCAGCGGACGAAAAACAGTTTACCATCATCCAGAGTATTCCGAGAAGAGACACAGAATCTCTTCTTTTTTTATCTGAGGAGTATGCGCCAAGAAACGAGCTGCCAAGAATGAGAACAAAAGATGCTAAAGTAAGAGGCGTTATTTTGTACCCGTTGTACAGCGTATCGTGCAGGGCAATGACAGGAATGGTAAGATTTTTGAGAACTGTGAATAAAGAGATGGGGAGCCGTGCATTTGCCTCCAGGCCCGAGTATATCATAATCACCAAAGAAACCGCAGGCAGCATCCACACGGAGAGAGCGGCAATGGAAAATATTTTAAAAGAGAGATTGTCGAGAATAAAAAAGTTAATGGCAGATAGTATGAGCAGAAGAAACACAGTTTGCACAGAAAGAATGAAAAACTTGCCCGATATGTGCAGATAGGTTACAATGTACTTGTTTAGCACGCTGGCTGATATACCAGCCGCAACCATTGTAACAATAAGACACCCCGCGAGCATGGCACCAATAAACAGCACACAAATTAAAAAACACCGTGTTTCAAAATGAAGGAATGGGGGTGAAACAAGAATAAATAGAAACAATTTTTTATTTTTAATGGAGCACAACAACTCACAGGAAGCACTGCCCTCTGTGATAGAGGGGATGGAGGAGAGCGCGCTGCCCAGAATAGACACCGCGTACGAGTTTAAGCAAAGAGGAGCAGAGAGCCTCATTCCTCTGATGGCAGAGGAGCTGGAGTCGCTAAAGAGATACGAAAGAGCAAAACCTGAAGACTTGGAAAAGTTTTCAAAAATATTTTCGCGCTATCTCAAAACAAGATCAGACAAAATTGAGTGGTCAAAAATATCTCCGCCCCCTGCAGAGATGATGGTGGAGTACGAATCGATAGTGGATCCGCACATCGACAATGTTTCAGAAATGCTGAATAAGCTGGCTGTGCTAAAGCTGAACGGCGGTCTGGGCACTTCCATGGGCTGCACGGGCCCCAAGAGCGCAATAGAGGTGAAAGACTATCTGAACTTCATAGACCTCACAGTCAGACAGCTCGAGCATTTCAACACAAAATACGATGCAACTGTTCCTCTGGTCCTAATGAACAGCTACAACACGCACGCACAGACGAGCAAACTGATCAGCAAATACAAAAGTGTGTGGACATTTGAGCAGAGTGCTTTTCCGAGAATATTTGCAGACACTTTGATGCCTGCCCTTTCTGACTCTTCCGTTAAAGAGTCTGAGGGATGGTATCCGCCAGGACACGGCGATCTTTTTGAGTCTCTGCAGGAGTCGGGAATGCTTGACAAGCTGCTGGAAGAGGGAAAAGAGTACTTATTCGTAAGCAACATTGACAATCTAAAGGCAGGCATTGATCTATCCATACTGCAGTATGTGATAAAGGATAACGTAGATTTTCTGATGGAGGTAACAAAGAAAACACGAGCTGACGTAAAGGGAGGGACTCTGATAGAGTACGATAACTCGCTGAGGCTCCTGGAGATAGCTCAGGTTCCAGAGGAAAACAAGTCCGACTTTACGAGCATCAGGAAGTTCAAAATATTCAACACAAACTCCATATGGATAAACTTGCATGCTCTGAAGAGCATTCTGGACAAGGGAGGAATGGAGCTGGAAATAATTGAAAATAAAAAAAAGCTGGAAAACGGAGAGAGCGTGATACAGCTGGAAACTGCCATTGGGGCATCGATCAGGTACTTTTCAAACTCAAAAGGGCTAATTGTGCCCAGGAGCAGGTTCCTGCCCGTTAAAACATGCAGCGATCTCTTTCTTCTCCAAAGCACGCTTTTTAAAATCGCACACGGCACCCTGTCTATCTCGCAGAACAGAATCACAGACACCATCCCAATCATAAAGCTAGTTGGAGACTGTTTTAAGACCGTATCCAGCTACAAAAAACACGTAAAGGGCCCTGTTGCCATAGACGATCTAGACCATTTGACCGTCAGCGGGAATGTTACGATAGGAAAGAACGTAGAGCTCAAGGGCACTGTTATAATTATAGCAGAAGAAGGAAGGTCTATACACATCCCAGACGGCACGCTTTTGGATGATAAAGTGGTGACAGGTAATCTGAACGTTGTGGACCACTAGTTTTGTGAAAGCTGTGATGATAAGATAAAAACTGTGTTTTGTTGAAAACTAAGATTGCTTGAAGCACCCCTAGAATAATAGGCATGGTAATAGAAAATAGAAATAAAGGCTAAAGGTTTATGATATGATAATTTGTTGATGAAAGTTTATTTTTTTACTTGTATGTTTTAATTTTCTTCCAAATTATTTTTGTGTACACTTTTAGTTTATCCGGTATAGAATTGCAACATATTCTCATATCATCAACTTTTGCACTTACATGGGTGTCTTTTATTGGCGTATTTGTTGGAGGATGAAAGTGCTAAATCATACTTACTCTTTTTTAGACGCTTCTTCTCTCCGTTTGAGCATGTACATTTCTATACGTTCTTCAATTCTATCTTCTAAAATTTCAGTTAAAGCTCCAAAATTTGCATTGCCATCAGCAATTAGTTGTTTCATAATCATGTCAAGTTCTTTAATTTCTATATTATATATCTTTGTATATGCACATTCACTATCATTCTCGTGTGAAGCAATTTTCACTACTCCATCATATAGTTTAGACACTACATTATCACCATCTTCAATTTGTTTTTTAATTCTTTCATTTTCTTTTTCAAGTGTCTCATTAACATCGCTTAATTTTGTGTATTCACTATCAAATGCTAGTTGATTATCTTTTATCTTTGTTTCTAAGTTAAGTACTATGTTGTGCACATCTTCAACCTGTTCTTTAAGATTTTCATTTTTCTCAACAAGGCTTTTATTTTCTCTATTAAATCTGCTAACTTCCTCTCTGAGTGCTCTAACATGTTCTTCCAACTCAGTATTTCGATATATAGCAAACTCTTCAGCTTTCTTTCTAGCCTGTCTCTTTCTGCTTGATTGGTATAGCATCTTTATTACAAGAATAATAGCTACTGCTCCTGCGATAACACCAATAAGCAATACTGTATCTGTCTTCTTTTGTTCCTCTTTTGTGGGATAAAATATATCAATATATTCTTCTAATATTCTCTTTATATATGATAATGTACTTTCATTCGTCTCTACAGGCTGTTTTTTGAATGAAGTCATGTGGAATCCTTGGCTTCTGGCAATTGCAAACTTTTTAAATACTTTGTGTGCGGACATCACAATGATCTGTGTGGCATTCTTATCTACGTGATCGTGCAGTAATTAAATGAGACTAATGGACATGCTAGTGAATGCTAGCAAAGAAAGTTTAAATGCAAATAAATATTTATTTGTTAGAGAGAGTAATAATTTATTTTTTCTCTAGTTGAGACAGCTAACCAATACTTCCATATATTGAAATCTGTCTCCTCTGTTAGTTTGTTTTCGATTAGCTTGTGGGTTCTTTGCAAGCTGCCTATTAGAAGGTGTGATTCTAGTTTCTTTTTCAGTGATGTCTCTTTGGTCTTTTATTGCCACCTGATCTTTTACTTCCTTTCATCTTGGCAATACGGTTTGCATGATGTATTTTTGTGTTTTCAAGTTTCTTTTCCATATCTTCGAGCTTTTTTGTTACCTCTTCATTTGAAAGCTGAAGGTCTTTTATTACTTTGTTATATAATTCTTCTTTAGCATGTATCTCTTTTTGTAATGTATCTATCATAAGATCTAAGTTTTTGACTTTTTCATTAAGATTTTCATTTTCTTTTTGGAGGTCACCATTCTTCTGATCTAATACTCTATATTCATCATCTAGCATTTTTTCTTGTTTCTTTGCTGCTTCTTGTTTTAACTGGAACACTTCATTATGTAAATTTGTATTCTCTTGGTCAAATTTACCAACTTGTTCTCGAAGCTCAACTTTCTCATTCTCTAGTTTTGCACATTTTTCATCGTAGTTTAGTTTATCAAGCTTCATTTGTTCTTGTATTTTAAGTATTTCACTACTTTTCTTATTAAATTCTGTGTGAAGTGTTTTGATTTCATTTTCGTATAAATCTCTCTGCTCATTTAATGCTTTATCTTTCTCATTAATTATATTTTCATTCTTTTTTACTTCTTGTTTTAGCTGGAACACTTCATTCTGGAAATCTGTATTTTTATTTCTAAATATTTCAATTTTTGAACAAAGATTTGTCATTCTTTCATTCAGTATTCCAACTTCCTCTTCTAGTGATTTAATCTGTGCTTCTAACTCAATGTTTCTATTATAAACAGCTTTTTCAGTCCGCTCTCTAGCTTGTCTTCTTCTTCTTGATATAAATATAGCCATTATCACTATTATTGCAACAACTACTGCAGTGAGAACGCCACAAACGATTGGCAAGTTTGTTTCCTTCTGCACTGCTTCTTTTATATAAACTACATCAATGTACTGCATTATCTTGTTCTTTATATTTGATAGTAGATCTTCGTTTATCTCCACTGTTACTGTGCTGTCTTTTTCCATTGCGATACTAGCAAAAAAAATTAGTTTAAATAGCCAACGGCTTAAAATTTTTCGCGTTTTTTCCATATTGGGCTTTAAAATTTTTTGATCAGATATATCGATGCAAATTTTTAGATGTGGCTAATAACCATGCATTGTCTGTTTTTACGCTAATTTGGATAATTTATTGAAAAAGCGCATTTGGTGAGAATAGATAAGGTTTCTCTGGCTTCTTGTGCAAGTATTAGCCAATCATTTCTTTTTTGCTAGATCGTCTGGAACATCTTTTAGCTCGCTGTTTCCTTTGCCAACGCTATATATCTGTCGTATACTTTAGAGAATAGAAAAAAGTGGAAATAATCGCCAACCAAAAAGATTCCATGAATATATTGCCTTTTTTCTGTACTGCTGAATAAATAAAAATAAATTAACATGTATAGTTTGTGTAGAGTTTGCTTACTTTTACATTTATATTTTCTATAGACATTTAGGAAAGAGAAGGAGGAAGCACAGAAAAGAGAAAAAGAATAAAGAAGAATATCTCTTATAACATCGGCTTAAAATGTCATTAGAAAGACAAATGTTTCTTTGCGCGCGGTATTTAGCAGTATTATTGGAAAATTGCAAATTCAATTCATATTACTAAAAAATCCACTCTTACCCTAAATGAAGAATATAATTAGAAAAGAAACTATGTTTTTGTATGAGAAATCAGAAACTGAAAAGAATGCTGGGCGCTGCTGTACTATTTATTCTCTTTAGCACAGGGTGCAGGGCAGGCTGGGATGGTTTTAATGAAGAGATAGGAAACAATGGCGATCTGTTAGATGACCAACACAGCATGTACGGAATAGAAGATTTAGACACTTCTTTTATCGATTTTCCTTTTCCTGAAGACGATCCTTTTTGGAACGGAGAGTTTTTCAACAGTGCAGATCTCTTGGCAGATCAGCAAGAACAGCCAGCAGAGCACATACCAGAGGCTAGTATGGCAGAAAATGCCTATACACCCCTAAATATAGAAGAATTATCTTCTACGGCTGGACCAAGCACACAAGAAAATCTTTATATAACGGGGCAAAATACACAAGAAAATCTTTATATAACGGGGCCAAGTATGGCAGAGAATGTATACACAGCATTCAATCCAGAAGAGAGTGCCTACGTGGCGGGGACAAGTATGGCAGATAATAATTGTATGGCGGGCTCAAGTATGACAGATAGCTTTTTCAACGATGCATATAATAGACCTAGCACATCAAGAGAAGAATACAGAATGCCAGATAGAGTGGATGACATAGACTTCATTCTTAGAGATTTTCCTGAGGAAAGTTGTTTCTGGGATAGCTGTCATGGAGATTTTGGTGGAACAGATGGAGTGGCAAGCCAGTACAATCAGCCTATGCAGTATACACCAGAGTCCAA